ATAAAAAAAAAATTTTTTATTTTGCTTTCACAAACATAATCATAAATTTAATCATTTCTTGCATTCTTATTTAGTTTTTAAATATATGTATTTGGCAAATTCTAGTACTGTATTACTTACATTAATAACTCTGAATAACTTTGAATACTTTTTCATTTTTCACATTATTTTCAGAGTATACCTACATAAATAGGCGCTAAAATTTTTAATTATATTTAAATTAAATATTCGAATATTGAAAAAAAAAATTAGTATGCTTTTTTACATGTTTTAATATAAATGAGAATCGTTTTTACCTATTAAATATTTGTCATACGATTTTTTTAATATTCGTAATATTTATTTAAAAATTATTTTACTAAACGAGAACTGAAATCTTTTTTATTTTTTTTTATTTTAATACTAATATTTAACTTTTTTTTATTATTATTCGGCTTAATATCTTCTAAAATACTTAAAACATATTTTTTGTATTTCTAATTCCTTAAGGATTAGCTTATTTAACCTTATTTAACTCTCAGGATTATTCAAGCTGATTTCTAATCAAATTCAACTTTCAAGCTGCTGAGATGAGTGTATTACACAGTCGGCAAAAGTTTTCTGTTTTCCACAATGAAAACATAGTAAAATAATCATGAAAATTTCATTATTGTTTCTGGAAATATTCAGCTTCAGAAGTCAATAAACTTTGGCTTTCACTGGAATCAATTTCTAAAGCGCCTTCACCGCTCTGTAGTGAAAACCTGCAAAAGGAGCTGTTCAAAGGCTTCTACAGCCACTTCCGGCATTTATTTTTAGGACAAAGCACAAGGAAATAATTCAGGGATCTTTAGAGTGCTCAATGAGCAGAGATGTGAGGGCTTCGCATTGTTTCGCTGGGAAATGAGTCGACCTTGGCATTTGAGTTTGCTTAATTCTCTCAAAAGTTCTGACAAAGAAATTGAGTGTTTTTAGTTCCTGTATATATAAAAGGCATTTCTCGTATCAACTACATTACTTATACTACATAATACATTACATACTACATATGCATTAGTCTAAGCCTATTTCATATGTTTCAGTTACATATATTACATATGTATATTGTATACATTCTATTCATACGTATAAGGCATAGTATATCATATAAGCATTATACATATATCCCTTATATCATATACTTCACACATATGTATATCAAATATATTTTATACAAATATCACATCTACCATCAAACATTCATATATTATACAAAATCATTTCATTTTTCATATAAGTCATTTACATATATCGTATGTCATATAATTCAGTTACATATATCGCATATATCTTATACATATGTAAATGACACATTTTTCGTATATCATATAAATCACTTGCATATATCACAAATACAGTAGAACCCCGTTATAACCATGCCCGAAAGGCGCTATAATCATATTTATATGTTTGCCCATATAAGTTTGTCTGAGGACCGAAAATCTCGTGCCAATAACCCTACGGGCGCTATAAGCGGAGTCGTTATAGCCCGATTCCACTATATCTTCTATATTCCATACATATGTATATCACATATATTATCTACATACCTTTCATATGCCATATATACATACATATATCTCTTACAAACGTATATCGCATATTTTTTATAAATTCGATGCAAATATGATCTATATATATAATTGATAGTGTTATATATATCTCATATATCAGTATCTATGAAACATACTTTATTCACATATATCATATATCTTCTACATATATTACATACATATGACATTTCTTTTCTCCTATGCCTATGTGTATATGCTTTCACAGAGTAACATACACAATCCCACATATCACTCTTTAAGTCACCGTCAAGTCACAGTTCCAGTAACAGTTCATTTCATCGTCATTCCACTCCCGCAATTTCGTGCAAGGATCGTGCGTGCTGCAGCGTCCACGCTTCCATTGCCAGCTCCAGCCTGGGCACATTTCACAGTTCCTATAATAAACACACACACACACATTCGGTATATAGTACACACTTTATATGTAAACGAGTGTGCGTGTGTGTGTGTGTACATCTCGCTATGATTGTCTTGGGCATAAATGGGAATTTATAGGCGGTTTGCTCTGACTCTGTCCCGATTTGGCATTCGCCCTGACTCCGGCTCGGTCGCCCGGCTCGCTCTGCCTTCGACTGGGCCACAATAAATAGCCAACTCCGGCAATCCCTGGACGGCAATAAGACAAGTAATTTAGTTGCAAAATAATTTTAAATTTCATTTTCCATTTTCACAGCACTCACTATCATCAATTGCGCATCTAGCGCGGGTGCTCTTCTTCTCTTCTCTTCTCTTCTCTTCTTCTCTGCTCCGCTTCTGCTTCATTCCCTTCTCCCTCATGTCGTTTACCATTTTGCTCCTTGCTGGGAATTGACTTTTATGCCTCGGCATATCCTGCTTTATGCGAGTCCTTCGATGCTTAAGCAAAACATCGATATCAGCACTCTATGTAATTGTGCGCCTTATGAATGGCTCTGAGGCAGGCCGAGCTCTGCTCCGAAGTGGATTATCGGAGCTATTACATTTTATACAAATAAATATGGGGAGCTATACTTAGATTTGATGTGAAAGCATCAAGTTAATTATACTTTGAGTAGGTGAACATATTTTGTTTGCACTCCTTATTAAGAAAGTGTGGTATTTTGTTTAGTACTTTATATAAATAACACTTTCAAATTTTTATACCCTGAACCCATTGAAAATGGGAAATCAGGGTATAATGGTTTTGTT